GACATCAGTAAATTCATTTTATTCTGCTTTAGATACTGAAGATGGAATCTGATAGAAATCCGAAACGTTTATCAATGTCCCCTTTTTGTCAATAAACAATGTTGTTTATCATAAGTGTCGTAATCTTGTTTTTAATTAGACCTTCCATGAACCAATCCAAGTTTTTAATCCACTCTTTTTGGCTCAGTTTTATTAAAGGTAAACATCCAGATTCAGTCGACTTAGAATCATAGACTCAAGTTTGGACAATTATCACACAAAATGGCGCATTTGTAGAAACTGTAAAACAAATTGATTTTAGGTATTTATATTGTCTAAATCAGTACTTATCAACTTGCTATTTCATCGCTCATAGCAAGTTTGAAATGTAAGTAGCCTACACAAATATTAACCAAATAGTCAAAAATAAGAGTTTGTTTGTTTGCAATTAAGCCCAAAGATACACAATGGGCTATCTGTGCTCTGCCTACCACGGGTATCGAAACCCGGATTCTAGCGTTTTAAGTCCGCAGACATACCACTGTGCCACTGGGGGGCCAAAAATAAGAGAAATGGATAGTTCGACAATTAAACAGACGAATGATTACCTTGTACACGTACATTTTAATAATCCTTAGCTCGTATATTAATGAAAATAATACTTATAGATGCCAAAGAACCTTATATTCTAACAAAATTCAAAAATAGCAACCATGTTGTAAAATGAGGTTATCCTTGGACTTTTTACTAATTTATGCAGTTAAATTTATAATCCTAAGTATTTTATTACATTGAAATACTACATACTTGTATACCTCATTGCAGTCTCATTTTCTCTGTAATATGAATGTGCAGCATGCTTCTAGATTAGATATTATAATATTCAGTTTTTTAATATATAGAACAGAGTCTAAGGACACGCGTTTGAATCGTTTTATATTACCTATTAGGAAAATAGCAATCTCTTTTTTATTTAACTGCAACAAGCAGCAACATGAATACAAAAAGGGGCCCCAACTTTCCTTTTTTTCTGATGTTAGTCACGTTTATATTGCATCTTTATAGGGTTTACCCTCATTCTTTTAGTACCTTGACTCTTTTTTAGTATCGCATCTTCATATGGCTGTCCACTTTATCCTAACGCAGCCGTTTTTGTATATGTAAAATGTATAGATCAGATTTATAAATAGTTATTGTTTGCAAAATGTTTGGCTTTATTACTGTACCATTTCAAGACTCTTACAAAACGAAAATATCCTTACATATATACATTATGTATAGTAGGGGAACGAACCCCGCAAACGAAATTTATCATATCGTGGATTGAAACGATCATGTGACACACAAGAAACGATAAGTAAAGACACTATTAGTCTGACTTTCATTATTATTATATTACCTTGCTGTTGTTGTTTGTTAGTAAGAACAAAGCTACACAAAGGGCTATATGTGCTCTACCCACCACAGGTATCGAATCCCGGTTTCTAGCTGTATAAGTCCGCAGACATACCACTGTGCTACTGGGGGGGGGGGGGGTTGGAATCCTTAGAGGAATTTTTAATGTGGATTTTTTGTTTGTCGAGAATTGCAAAGCTACACAATTGGCTATCTGTTTTCTGCCCACTGGGGGGTATTGAAACCCGATTTTGAGCATGAAAAAGCTCTCAGACTTACCACTGACCCACCAGTTGGTTTCTAATACGGCCATGTAAATTTCAGTCATATTTTCAATGTGATAGTGTTCAATTAAAAAATAATAGTAAAACTTTTTCTTTATTTCGCCAGTTGGTTTTGACAAAATGTAAATAATAAATGTAGCAACTTTTTATATTTATGGTATTCAGTTATTAATGCGAATATTCATTCGCCTTTACATTTGCTAAAAATTATCGTCTTTAGCTTATATGAATGATGGAATTGGAGAGGGCTGAAGTGTTTAAGCCTAACACTCTTAAGATTAGAAATAACGGCTGTTAGTATATGCAAGACTCAGATTAGAGTAAAACTGACAATTTAAAAAGTAACAAGATGTTAACGCTTGCATTTTCAAATCAAGTCTTTGCTCAGTGATCAAATATTATCTGACGGTATCTTATGAAAACACAAACGTTTAAATATAATGATTAACGTTAAAAAACATTACAATTATATTTATTTATTTGCTAGTAGGAGACAAACACAGCATAGCGTGTTATACATTTAAACATCTTTAGTATAAAAATATCTCTGTTAAGAACTACAGAGTTTGTGTAAATTGTATGGTTCTAGTTCATGAAATCATGAGTCAGTCTGTGACAAATAAAATGAAATTAATCTTATCATTTTCACATAAAAACCATTTGATTTGATATGTTTACAATTAAAATATAATAATTTTAGTAACAAAGTTCATATTGAGAAAGGTCTTGTATGTATCTGGAATTATTATCATAGAGACAGATCGAGAAGTGACCATCTGCTTATCCTACTAGAAGTTTAGTTCAGTGTGTTGTAGATGTTGACCTAGAATCGACCATGGAACTTTCAACAATTCATAAGAATTTTTCAATCAAGTACATTTCTAATAATTTATCATCTGTTTAGTATCAAGATTTACATATATTGCTTTTCGGAACCAAGCGTTGCCTCGTAGTTAAAGTGTGGGCTACGAATCAAAGGTTCCAGGGTTGGAGGTGTGCTGCTTCTGAACAAACTCCACATTATCCGTAGCGAGAACATTATAAAAGTGACAGTTTGTTTCATTGTGGCAGCGGACATTGCTGGTTGGTTGTCTTCCGTGTCGTCCGTAGTTCAAAATTAAAGACAGCTATACCTGGCCATTTAGCATAAGATGTCATTCAGGTTGAAAATTATAATTCTAAATTGTTTTTATTCTTGGTTATAATATATTCATGTTTTCTTCAGGATATTTGTCCTGTCTGAATTTATATTAAATATTCATCAGTTTATTGTAATTTAACTTGTTGTATTACATGGTTATCCATTCACAATGACATAATCCATACCGAATCCTGCAGTGAATTCACCTGGCCCTCCTTTAATTAATCCTCTCATAGATCGCCCTCTGGTGGTCTTATAGATTTTATATCTTCTAATCTCCACGATTTTGAACTAACAGCCAATCAACGTACGAAGCAGGTTAGGTGACCTTATTACTCTGAACTGGTCGGACTGTGAATTCGAGAGTTCCTGATTCGCTGCCCATTGTCGTAAAAACGAATTCCGCATTTTAGGGCCGTAAGTGCAGTATCCGAGTGACTATCCAATCCCATTATTCAGTCACAAAAGAATAGCCCAAGAGTTGGCGGTTGGTATAAGTGACGTTCAAATCCCACTATGGGCTCAGATAAGTGTAAGCTAAAACTTGGTGGAGGATGTTGTTTAAAAATTAAGGACGACTATACTCGATTTACCTTGTGTAGGTTAACGCAAAACTTCTAAAACAATATTCTAAACTGTAATTTTAGTTGCGCCAACATGTAAACTTGGTTTACCTATATAAGAATTCACTTTATTATAATCTGTTATCAGAAATAAAACACAATACTGCTCAGTTTTCATTAGTATGAAATCGATTTTAATTGCCGATATTTTTATTCCAATAATAGTCCCCCAGTGGCACAGCGATATGTCTGCGGACTTAAAATGCTAGAAACCGGGTTTCGATACACGTGGTGGGCAGAGCACGGATAGCCCATCGTGTATCTTTGTGCTTTACTTCAAAACAAACTAATTTCATATTTTTTTAAACGAAAAGTTTGTATTTTCGGCCATCGCATACTGTAATTCTACTGTTTCCAGAGCAGAGGTATAAAGGGATGGTAAGCAATTTAACATACTTAACACTAACCTTGTATTACCCATAGATTTATAAATGTTACTGTGTACTTTAACAGATGGACGTGACCACAGGAAATGTTGCAAGTCTCGAGGAGTGCCTAAAAGCTGTTTAAAGTGGTGTGTTGGAAGGCCAGTCTTCAGCGCTCCGATGTGTGTTCTGATTGCAGCTAATGACATTGTATCATGTTTTGAGGAGGGTAAAGGTAAAGCACATTAACCATATGATATAATTAAGTAGTTACAGTTTTGTTTAAATGTTCAATAGGAGAGTGGACGATGTTTTTGCACATTACGAAATTTATACAATATTCAGTCATCTTTAGGTTAATATAAAAACAATTGTTTATAGTTAGAAGCATCAGCTACTAGTTACATTATGTTATAATATAAACTTAATAAATACTACAAAGTTATTCATATAGTAGATCTTAGAGTAGTTAGAACATTGTAGCTTAAGTTCACTTTTACAAACTCATATGAAAATTAAAATACACTCCATAATTAAATTAACATCAGTAAATTACTTTATTAGATGTATAATATTTGTGTACTTACCATTAGAAGCTGGAGCTTAAAGTATCAATTAAAAAAAAAATTTAATGGCGCAATCTCTTTCTGAAGCCCCCTTAATTCACTTTTACGTACAATATGTTTTTATAAACTTATATGAAACAAGCCTCGGAAAATCCAGAGATTAAACTATCAGTTGAACATTCAGTGGTTATGTATATGCCATGGAACGTTGATATGTTCAGAATATATGGTTTGATTAATTTATCAAAACTGCGCTAATAATTAAAGGTAATTTATAAAATTATTATAATTTTTTGGTTACAGCAGTTTACTGTTCGTTACATTTTTTTAGCTTCTATTGTAATGTATTTGATGAATTCAGAACGTTAACTTCCGGTCTTAGCTTATAAATGAGCGAACAATTCTTTTAATCAGATGCTATGTTCATCATTGGCCCTGGCTATGATCTTAAAAAGTTAGAATGGACGACAATGTCACATTCGCCTAGGGCATGCTCAAGTATACTTAACTTAGTGGGTGATCTTAGGTTAGTATATCCTTTAATTTATGTTAACAGTTTTCTTTTAATGGAACCAACATAGCTTTGCTGAGAGCGAGAACAAGTAAGGTTGTAAACTACAGTAGATAGTAGTAAAATTGGAATTTGGTCCTTGAATTTATAGAAAAATCTAAGGCAACAATTAGGTTTAATCACATATATTAGTTGGGTCTTCGGGTATATTCTACGAATAGCATTTTTCAGCTGATTTTTAATAATCAAAGAATATTTACCCATACGAGTAAGGTAAACCAATAATCAAATAATATTTAGGTATATAAATTAAGCATGGTATATTAACACTTCACTTATTTAAGTATCTAAGAAATATACTATAAATGGCATAACTTGGAAAATATTTTTTCCACAACAATTCTTTGATGTTGTTAAATTCTTCATATACATTCTCATACGTCATAGGCACGATAAAACAGTATTTCCAGAACATTTTATTTGAAAATACTCCGAATAAACTTTTAATATTAAAATATATGCCTGTGAATGGTTGTGTGTCTGTGATATACTTCACGTTTGAATTGTTCACTGTTCTTATTGATTCAGGTGTCCAGAAATGGAAGTTTATGATCTTGCTGATGTTCTGCAGTAAGTTACATGCTATTATGTTTATTGTTCAAATATTGGAGGAATTGGGAAGCTTGATCCTAATTCTTGAAGATGGTAAAAGTATCATCGACGTACCTGCGATGATAGAGCGGTTGAAACTATTGTGGGTAATTTTCCAACTATTGTTTTTCGTTAAAAGATAAAATAAATTGGCAATAGATTAGCGTTAGTCTTGAACCCATGACAACGCCTTCGTCCTGATCATAAAGTTGTCCATTCAAAACAAATTGAAACCCTTTAAGTTGATTAATTTAAAAATTCAACAAAAACAGTTGATTTTGGAATATTCACTTCGTTGGAATTGTAATTGTAAATCAAATCAACAGTCAACTTTATGGTCTGTTCTAACGGTATATATGTATACAACGATTCTGTGTTAAAACTAGCACAATGTACACAACTATCAAACTTCAGCAGTTTTATTTCGTGACAATACTCAAAACTGTCTTTCAGAAGTATATTTATTTCTAGTGAAGTTCTTCAAAATTCAACCATAGCATGGTTGTAAGTTTCAATGTTACATACAATTAGTCGCAAGGAACATCATTCTTTGTGAATTTTTGATAAACCATGCAAAAATACCATGACTCTCTGATGGTCTAACATTCAAATATAATGTGACGGTCAATCCCACTATTCGTTGGTGAAAGAGTAGCCCAAGAATTGGCAGTGAGTGGCGTTGACTAGCTGCCTTCCCTCTAGTCTATCACTATTAATTAGGGATGATTAATGCAGATAACCCTCAAGTAGCTTTGCGCGAAATTCAAAAACAAACATCTTCGTAGTTATTTGAATAAGCAAAGTAGTAACATACCATGCATAATTGATATACATAAATATCCTTTGCCCTTTGGTTATTAGCTTACCTTGTATGGGTAAATATTTCCTTGATTATTAAGATTATCAAGAATCAGCTGAAAACGTCATTCTTAGGGTATCACAACTAATGCTTGTATTTAAACCTAATTGTCGCCTTAGAATTTTCTTTAAATTCAAGGACCGAATTCCAATTTTACTATCACCTTTTGTAGTTTACAAATGTATTTGTCCTCTCTCTGTCAGTAAGGCTGTATTGGTTCCACCAAAAGAAAATTACTAACTTCTGGGAAAGATCATGCTAACCTAAGATCACTCACTAAGACGTGTATACTTGAACATACGCTACTAGGCGAATATGACATTGTCGCCCATTTCAATTTGTTTCAGATCTTAGCCAGAGCCGATGATGGACAGAATTTCCCAATTAATGCGAACTTGCTCAGTTATAAGCTGAATTATGCATTACTATTTGATAATAAAACTGAAGTAAACTTTTCAATACATCTTTTCTTTTACATTTCTATAACGGTAGCTGTAAGTTTTTGTTGTACATCGAATTTCTATTAACAGAATTTACAGGTATTTGAAGTGTACATTAATATTAATCCTTAGACTTATATGGTGTAAAGCTTGTTCCAACTTTATTTACGGGTAATATTATACCTATACAAGTATAATAATAAAAGTTGTACATAAGTTATTATACTTGTTTGTTTCTTTTTTATTAGCTATATTTTTGTGCGCCAGCAATACCAAGCGTAGGGCGCGCGTATACCCGTTTCGATTTTATTACTCATCAGAATCTTTACAAACCTACCCTGAAATCTAATTGTATGTCCTAAGTAGCGCATTGTCCATTTTATATACATATAGATGCTAGTATGCTTTTCGGTACAAGAAAGGGATCATTAGGATCACAAATGGAAGAGTTCTGGGAAAGAATTACAGCGATAAGGATCGTGATATTTTCTGTACGCTTATTTGGAAAAGTCATTTACTTACTTACTTAGATGAAAATTCGTTGTATTAGTTAAATTTTTATTCCCTCCATGAAAGCGCATGTAGTGACTTAGGCGGCTTTATAAGTACAATAAACTTTAGCTTTACTCAGTTAATACTGTGAAATAGTCATTGTTAATATTCAGACATTTCAAAGGTGGTTTTAAACGAGCAATTTTAATTAATTGATACAGCTGGAAGGAATAGGCCTAGGTGGCAAAATATATCGATGATGAAATTGAAGATAAATGTCATAGGAGTAGGTCATTTAAACTGAGGGCCAGGATGGAAGATTTGGAGAAGTACAGAAGAGTTAAGAATTAGTTAAAAAATAAATAGGGATAACAAAATGGGTTTACAAAGAACAGATGACTATGGAATTGCTGAGCTATTAATTAAACTATGATTTCTCGTAAGTTTTCTCCATGGAGGACGTTGGTGACTCTCAGAATTTGTTCAGAGTAAATGTTTTAGAGTGTACAATATATATCTTAATCCTGATCTTGTTAGAGAAAAAACGTACAAAAATTTGAAATTACATAAAGCTTTGGGACTTGATAATATTTACCCTAGAGATTTAACGGTTCAAGACCAGATTTCTGAGTTGCTTGCTTTCATTTTTGGTAGGTCATTGGGCAGAAGGAAGGTGCCTGAAGATTTGAATGTGGTTAATGTTAGGTAGATTTTTAAAGAGGAATGGAACAATACCCAAAGTATTTTATACCTGTTAGTCTTACTTTGGTAATGGGAAACGTTTTAGAGAGTCTGACAAAAGATGCTTTGCAGGATCGTATGACGATGTTCAAAATTTTGTTAGACAGCCAATATGGTTTTAGAAAATGAATACCCTGCCTTACTAACCTATTAATCTCTTTTGATGATGTTACGTCTTTTGTGAATAAGGTTAAAGAAGTGGATATAGTTTACTTGGATTTTCAGAAAATTGTAAAATAATTTAGGTGCTGCATGAAAGATTGCTGAAAAACAATTACCTCAGTTGACATATGAGAAAACTTAGTTAAATGGATTGCAAGTTGGCTGGATAAAAGGAAATAAAACTTGTTATTAGTGACTAAATTCAGTCTAAATGGGTTAGGGGTGGTTCAGAGATTTGTTCTGGGATTACTGATATCCATCATTTACATTAATACCATTGAATAGGAATAGCCAGAAAGTTTTTGTTTGTTGATGGTATAAAAATTTTGGATCTGGCTAGTTGTGACGAAGATGATACGATATTACAGAGAGAATCAGATCGGTTGGTTAGTGGGACAAACACAAAGCAAATAGTGTTTACTTATGAAATGTATGAGGTTATCCATGCAGGTTATCATCATATATAATTTAATTAGGTATCCTTTCAATTTTATGAATGGGGAAAAGGATATTCGCGTAGTAGTTGATACAATTCTTAAGCCTTCAAACAGTGTTCTAATGTAAATGGTAAAGCAAACATAATTTTGGGTTATATACATATAGCAATATTGCCTATAAATTTAACAAGTCTTCGTGTTGTTTTGCTTAAGTTTCAAGTTAGGCCTCATTTAAAATGTTGTATGATTAATTATGTTCCCTTATCTTGGAAAGGAAATTACTTTGAAGAGGGTGACTACTAGGATGATTACAGGGAGTGATAGGTTATCACTTGAGGACAGGATGGGATCTTTAAATTTGTTCTCTCTTGAAAAGAGAAGAGTCAAGGTGATCTGATCGAAGTTTTCAAAATTATTATAAGATTGACGCATCAGACTGTTTCGTATTCAAAATAAAATTTGGAGGGTAGTAGGACAAGACGTCATGCATTTAGAGTTTGGACAGAGGGGAATCAGAGATGAATTTAATGATTAGTTTACTATTTGCTGAGGGAGGTTGGGAATCAAGACATTCTACATGGACTAAAAGGTACCATGTTGTCCAATATTTATATAAAATAAATATTTTAAGAAACAATTTGAAAACTGTGCAATTCTCTTTGACAGCTGTCATACCTGGGCCTCCAGAAAATCTTCGTGTAGCCCAGCTCAGCCCTAGGGTAATTCAAGTGAAGTGGGACCCACCTCTTCAAAACCCACAGTTTGTTGAATGGTACCGAGTCATCTGGAAACGTGAAGGCTCAGATAGCAGGACTACAGTAAGTTTTGATTTCTATATTCTATATACGATGATTAATTTGGAAATATTAAAAGAATAACTACCCATGTTAACGAAAATGCAGTTTTATGTCTTAGGCTGCTTAGATGAATCTGAACATAGCACTTAAAAATATTTTGACTTAATTTTATGAAAGCTCTATTTGTTAAATAATCGATTTTATTGCATTAATTTATGCCACAAAGATAATATAACAATTTACCAATATCGGGACATATTTGTGTGTGTGTGTGTGTGTGTCAAATCTTCGCTATTTTTATTTTGCCCACTTTATATTGGATCTGAGCATAACCCGGTATTTTTGGTTGTGTTTTAACTTTGTAATTACTATTTTAATAAGCGATAAACATACTAAAACGAATCCATAAACTTACAGTTACAATATCTTAAGTGAAAGAAAGCAACCACAGAAAAAGATAGCAATACTGAAAAGAATACTTGATAAAACACGTAGTTACCAAAATCAAAGTTAGAACTAGCCTGGCTTTTGTGTTACATAATTCAGCAATGAGCTAATTCAAGACCAAATAATAATTATTACTAAGGTTCAAGGTTGCTAAGCCACAAAGGGACAGACCATGCCAGTAATTTTCCTGGCTGTTGCCAGCCACGTCGTGAGGGGGCGCCACAAACATTTCGACCGCGGGTGGGGAGGGGTAGAAACGATGATGTCATAGTTACACGAAGTGGACCCATAGAGTGTGTTGCAAGGGTCGCGTTGTTAGGTCGCCATGACAAACGGAAGTGACAACAGATGTTGTTCAGAAATGTGTTGCTAGTTCCACAAAGTGGCACCAGATGGCGCATTGGTATGATGTCATGATGATCGCATCATAGAGTTTCTCAACGTGTGATTACATTATCAATGTTTAGATTTAATTATGTTAATGTTACAAGTAAAACTATTATTTTAACGAATTAAGTATTATAACACTGTTACACATGTTATTTTTATGACATATCATTTGAACAAGACAAATATTATAGCCAATAATTTACTTCACATACTTTTACAACTACCTGTCACTTTATGTATAGAACACTTCACTCATTCATTAGTTTGATATCTAATCATACTTTTTGCATTTCCTGACGTTTTTCATTTCTAAAACTAACGTCTATTCGTCCTTAAAAAGACGCAAACTAATAATTTAATCTAATTTCATAACCATGTATTTACAATTTTACTTTATAAGTAAAGCATTAAATACAACTTACACAGGCAGACAGTCCCGTAGGGCTGCATACAGGTCACAACTTATGTTTTTTGTTTTCATTTATATATTGCATCTGTTTTACAAAAGTGTTACTTTAGTACATGAAAATAAAATCTCAGTCTTATATATAACATGTATTGAAACATTTGTTAACAAAACTTCAAGATACACTAATATACTATTTATGAAAACATCTTAGTTTATAAAATACTGACCTATATATGTCTAGCTTAGTCTGTCATGATAAATTACATATTATTAACATCAGTTTCTAATGGTATGTGCAATCATAGCTTTCTCTTTCTCAGGATGTGATGGTCCTGAAAAGGACCTTTAAATTTCAAACATTTCAAGAAAACCATTTTCTTCAGTGAAGTAGTAATAGAGGAATATTAAAATGTTCAATCGTATAACTGCGTAAGTAAAACACATCTCTATAAACAAAACAAATAGGACACTCACCAAAATGATTTGTACAAAGATGATGATCACATGATTATACATTTTGAAAATATTCACCACAAAGTATACACTTGTAACCCATGTTACGATAAAATACAAGAAAATACATGTCTATTCTTCTACATTTTATAAATCCAACATGTTTACTGTCTATCATTACAGAATATACTTGACAATCAAAGTAAGCTGTTACGTTCACAATACTTTAACTCTGATAATGAAGAACGAATTTTGTATGTCACTGAACTTAACTGTCCGTAAAACAAAATTATATATTCATGCACTTTACGTAACAATAAAGAAAGCTAAATGTACATTCATGAAATTCTCAATTTTTGATGTTACATTCTGAAATTATTTACTGTTTATAAATTACAACTTTCTGTTTTTGTCTTAGAACTCGCATATTTGTCATTTAAAACTACCATTCTTTAAAATATAACTCATCAAGATATATACATAGTCCAACTTATTCAAAGTGTAATTATTTAGATATAATATGGTTTTAGTTTTTACATCTTCAACATCAACGAAGTTGTTATAAGTTCATTATAGTAACAAAAATTAGTTAGTCATAACACATTATCACACAGTTCTCCATAAGTTACCATTACCTATGTTCTTACATTAAAAAATAAACAGTGTCTAGCAGAGATGAAAGATGTTATTAACTTTTAAAGTAGTTTAGTGATCATCGATAAAAACATTATTTTGGTGGTAAATAGGTGTACAATGCTGGGCGTGTTGTCATTGCAGTGTTAGTACTGTTGGTGAAAAGAAAAAATATTTTAGGGACCCAGTGTCAGATGACAGCCTTGAGGCCTCATACCAATACCAACCAGATAAAATTGCAGACAAACACTGAGATAATTGGAGTTTACTCTTGTATAGACCAACAAAAACTTGTGTTCAATCTACAGTAAATGTAGCTTTTTGTAGGGAAATCATAAAGTTGATCACTTGATGTACAACATCCTCAGCTAGTATGCTCGTGAACTATATACACGCTCATCATATCAACGTGCCTTGTGGTACCACTTCGTAGAACTATGATGTCACCCTTCCATTAAGACAGCCGTGTCCTCTGGTGCCACTTCGTAGACTTATGATGCAGTCATCTCTTGTGCATGGCACTATGACCTCATCATCTCTACCCCCTCTCCTTGAGGCAGCCAACCATAACACAGTGTCTGAAGTACTGCCCTAACCACTAATGTACGGTGTATCAACTGATATTAAATCCTATAATTAGTTTGGCCTCCAATTTCATTTAACATTGATAGCCTTTCATACATAAGCTTAAGAAGATATTAAAATTATATAATTCCTCAATTCTGTATTGAAAATTAGCTATGCATTAACACAAATTTTATGTTTTTTTTTTACCCTTCTGAAATATATTGATTTTCAAAATTGGAATTTTCAATCTCGCCAGCACCTTATGTATATAATGGCCTAAACACCAAAGTTCAGGTTAGCCATACACAATTTTAAACTACTGACCTAAGGAAAGACAGCCAGCAAACAACATATAATATCACAAGCAGGCACGGTGTTAAAAATAGGCAACTTTGGTGGCTGCCTAGAGGTTAAGTATTAAATTATCTCCATTGTGAGTAGCCTTTATTTCTGCCTAGGGTGGCAGTTAAGATAATGCCAGTTCTAACCACGCGAGCTTTGAAGCTAAATAACGGAACTGACTATCACATTGTAGGAAGCAACAACAGCTGAAAGTACGAGTGTGTTCAGTGACATCATGCCATGAATTTGAAATTAATAGTATCTTCTTACTTTCTCTTATCCAACCACCCCAAAATTCAACTAATTTGCCTTGTAATAATTTTGGATAATTCTTGATCGGTTTTAAGAGATAAATAATCATGGTGCAAATACAAAAAATCTGAAGGTTAGTTTATCACACTCAAGGAACATTAAACTATGACTTGATCCTAAATAATCCAAAGACCACCATGTGGAGTAAAGTGTGACAACTTGATATGTGAGTCTACGGCGACATTAAATCTATAGCACTGTTGAATAAAGGATATACGTTTTCTGTTTCTACTGTAAGAACTATATATATATATATATAGCTTTAGGGAGGACTATGTTTCTTCTGCTTGTAACATTGGGTTGTGGTAGCCTGTTAAAAATAATAATGAATTGAAATGTAGAGCTGAGGGTATTGTTAACCATATCAAAGGAGAGAAAAAATGGTGTATATCGAACATGTATATCGATGACGAGGAACCCACTTTGAGACGAATAATGGCTGGAGACGGCTTGAATGGGTAATGAAGAAAAACTTTAATATAACAGCATGTTAGTATGCTTCTTTGAAGTATTAACATAGAAATACATGAAAAAAAAAAGAAGTGCAAAAATATGTTATCTGCTCATGACTTCTGGCGGTTCAATATTTACAAATATGTGAATGTTAGTAGACATATTTTTATATTTTTTGCAACGATCCTGCAGCAAAATCGAACTCATTATAACAGCAGAGCAGTAACAAAAAACTAAAGTGAAGAAAAAGTTTAGTATACTGTATCTGTGTACACACAGTTAACGATACCATCTCTCAGAAATTGTAAGTAATTGTTTGTTGAATTTCATGCAAAGCTATTCGGAAAATATCTGCTCTAGCTGTCCCTAATTTTGACTAGAGGGAAGGCAGCTAGTAAACACTGCAACATGTGGAGGTGTACTTTAATCGAATAATGAGATTTGATTGTTACTCTTATAATGCACCTACGACGCCGAAGTGCGGAGCATGATTTTTCCTCTTTTTGATGCAGTAACTGGGCTCCAAACTCGGATACACTGGGCCACGTTCGACTGAAATATGGCCAGGTGGTTAGGACGCTCGACTCGCAATCTGCGGGTCGCGGGTTCGCATCCCCGTCCCACCAAACATGCTCGCCCGTTCAGCCGTGGGGGCGTTATAATGTGACGGTCAATCCCACTATTCGTTGGTAAAAGAGTAGCCCAAGAGTTGGCGGTGAGTGGTGATGACTAGCTGCCCTCTCTCTAGTCTTACACTGCTAAATTAGGGACGGCTAGCGCAGATAGCCCTCGTGTAGCTTTGCGCGAAATTCAAAAAACAAAGAAATCGACTGAAATAGGTTCATTATGTCTAGAACATAATTAGTTATCGCAACTTATTGAAGTCTGTATTTAAATTAATGCTGTATTGTTTTTTTTTATTTTTTAATGCAAAGCTACACAGTTGGTTGTCTGCACTGTGTACACTGTAGAGACTCGAATACCGGATTTTATCGATATTGTTGATGTTAATGCTACTTCTATTAGTTTCACGTTGTATTTTAAAGGCTTTAAGAAAAAACAAATGGGAATTTTTGTGTGTTGTACACTTGAATTGAATAATCCAATACTTTATTTCACCTTATTTTGCCTCCAAGTCCAGCGTGTTAATCCCACATTACTTGAACGATATTCAGATGTTAATTCATATTGCCGAAGATGCGAGCAGTTGCCACAAACAAGCCACACTCAAATATTTGGTTCGTAGTGCACTTCTGACAATTCACCAGTGAAATGTTGCTAAGGCTAGTCTTGTGGCTGGATATATTTCATAGACTTTGCAAAAACAAACATTCAAACAGCGGGATTGTTAAGGGATATAGAACCAAAAGATCGGTCTTTTCGATAAGGAAAGACCTTAAGTAATATTTGGAAGAGTGGGAAAACTTTTGGATCAGTGTTTAGGGGAATTGGACTCTAAAACCACATCCTAACTCAATCTGAATCAATTATCCACCAAGTGGATTTGTCAAATTTCTGTATAGGGGCCGGATTCTTTACAATAGTGTCAATGACTTGTTGGCAATAACTGTCAACAATAAATGAACAGCACATAATCCACTTGTTTTAAAATAATATATATTCAGAACAAGTCAAATGTATGTACAGAAATTCATTACACTATTGTTTACCGCAGTTGAATCTAGAGCTTTAAATAATTCATCATTTCGTCAAAAGTCCACACAGGCTGGTTCAGTGATCTTAGATCCAAACTGACAAGACGAATAATTTCTTCACTACTCTTTTATCACAATAGAATCAGAGATATATTCATTTACCCATGGATTACCACATTCTATCCAGAGCTTCAAATAATTATATTTTACGTCAAAGCTCCACACAGGCTGGTTCAGTGATCTTAGATCCAAACTGACAAGACGAATAATTTCTTCACTACTCTTTTATCACAATAGAATCAGAGATATATTCATTTACCCATGGATTACCACATTCTATCCAGAGCTTCAAATAATTATCGTTTACGTCAAAGCTCCACACAGGCTGGTTCAGTTACTCTAGAACCCAAATGACACTACGAATTATCCTTCTCTATCTCTGTTGCTACGATACAAGCTGTGAAATTCACTTGAAAATCATTACTATAACTGTTGGTTACTGCAGTTGTATATAGAGCTTTAAATAATTGTCTCCTTTTCGTCAAAGTCCACACAGGCAGGTTCAGTTACTTTAGAACACCCTTTAACAGACAAATTATTCTCCTTTATCTATGTTATTACAATACTCACTTTACATATCACCTGTTATGACTAAACTGACAATTATGTATTCTAACTTCACTTTTACTTTCACTAACTTACTTTAATTTAATTCTTTCCTTTCACTCTCTATGTGTACATATCTATAACACGCAACAGAAAAATCTAGAGATATCTAGCCCTCTAGTGACAACAATATTCACATGAATTTAGTAGCTTCGAGTAAGATGACGTCAACAGTATTACAAAAGCCTAATACAACAATTAAACTGCATACACAATATACGACTTGCACCGAGTTATGCAATCAAACCTGTCGCAACTATCGCCATCAAAATAATTAACCTTTAATACTCTTGTTATGAAAACTAATTAATCATTAAACACTAAATAAACTAAGTAATAACTCTTAAACTAAACAGTCTTGTATATCCAACATGATTTCAAATATAACTTTACACCAAAAAGTCATTATGATGAAACTGGCCTTATTTCCTCTCACTGTTATAAAAATAATAAACGTGGATTAGAAGTTGCCTGATACTAACAAGATACAAGTTCACAAACGTCCTGCCACACTTCCAAACCTACGAGGATTTATATGAGAAAAATTGCCCAAGAAAACTAAAAGCACAGCAACCCCATTTGAACACATACCCATTACGTCCCCTAGCGCAGCGCCAGTAGACTTTTGCGTCTTTGCTCAGCTTAAGCACGGTCTTGTAAGTTGACTTTCATATACAGTAGGAGGTCTGTGTAAAGTAGTGAAGGTTGTGTGCTATCATTTGCCTTCACTGTCCTTGGAAGAACAATAATTTGGGTGCGGAATTGTGGACATTGGAATCATTTTGATGGACGATGAAGGAAGTAATTTCAAAAGCAGCATAGAAACTGAAACGTCGTTTTTGTGGTTTACCTCTGACGATTTCCACACTTAGACCTCAGTAATGATCAAAATATATGTTGGTCATCTTACGATTTGTTTCCAAAGTATATTTAAATTTTTCAACATTTTACTAGACTTGTACCAATTAGTTTCTTGGTTATATAATGTTTCATAATTGTACCAAAAAAATTATCATTACTTGATCACTTCCATTTCACTTTCCAAAAACTTGTATGTTCTTTCATTAAAAGATTAACCACACAAAATTTAGGGCTCGTTTAATTTTCTAAAAAATAAATTACACAAAGTAATAAATTTTCTCATTTTGGTAATAGGGACTTTATTGATAATGTTACATTTCACTGAAAAGTAAAGTTTGTGAGCCTCTGCCTGTGATAGCTTGGTCATGTTATCGTAAGTTTGGTCTTGAGAAGTCACAGATCCGATTAATGTGTATTGAACAAAGTGGATAGGTGTACTAAGTTTCCTTTTCTATTTTTAGTTTCTTTACATACACACACACACATATATGGGAGAGAGGCATTGGATATATGTTGTTTTACTGTCGTGATGATACTCAGAAGTGTGTGATTTGGTCCATTTTTTCCTTACACAGTAAAGATGTGTGGGTAAACTTTTAAAAATTTCAAATAATCAACAATTGAGAATTTATACACAGACAGGACTGACATTTACAAACGTAGAATTCAGTGAAAAATGTACTCTCAGTCTTTAACCACCCACACCCTAAACACTATTCTTTTCTCCCTTTTCTAAACTGCATTCATTTAACTCCATACTAATCACGCACACAAAAAAATATTTACCTTTAGATACCAACTCTGTATATATCACTCATTTTTCATGGCGTTTCCAGTAATTCAACCTTGAGACATCCTAAAGGACAATCATTGCTTTATATATATCTCTGAAATCTAGCCATGAAGGCATTATCTCATTCCGTTGTGAAAGGATTAGTTGTACATGTCTGCCCTTAAAAATACCTAATATTGCTTATCAAAATTAAATCTGACAAATATCGTTTTACCTGTACCATCAATCAGTTATTGTGAGTATAGAATAATTTATTAAAAATCAAACACCCTACGTAACATTCATCCTACGTTTATTTACGCATTTTCTGCGTTTACATAAAATATATTCTAACATATTATATTGTTACGTCTCCGTTCGTTAATTAATTTTCCGTAACTTCGTTCCGACGAAACTTTAGCGACACAAGTCCTTACTTAATAAAACTGGTTTATTCTTTCCGAATATAACTTTATGATACACTTAATTTCAACATTCGCGCTAAAACAAACACTATAACGAAAGAACGTTAACTTCAACAATACCCTATGACTGCAGATCAATTACTCACTACCTACATACATTCTTCCCGTCACGTTGTCACCCTCTTATATATACCAGACTACCCTATATCTAGTAATCTCCCGACAATTCACGAAGGTACAAGATATTTCCAGAAAGCAGGGGGCGTAACACTAGTCACGTGACCTCGCTGACGCAACAATATTATAATACCTGCCTTAATTTTTTTTTTATTTTCAGATCAGTATTATAGTGCGGCATTCAAAACTGTGGTATGAACAAATTTAAGTTTCATTTCAGACTTCTTTATGATTCTAGACGTTTAATGTGCTTGCTTATAGTTTCTGTAAGTTCATATTGAGAATTTTTGATGACGTTGTTATGTATGTAATACATTCAATAAACTCAAGCTTTTAATATTTTGCTTTCATAGAAATTAGTTAGAAGTTATAAATGCCAATAAAACAAGAATTAGAATGAAAATGATCAATGGAATTTTTATTTTCACAAATACAACCCTAAATTAGAAATAGTGTATAATGATGTGTGCGTGTTGTCTGGCAGTTATTTTGATGTAAAATGAATTAATTCGAAAGAAATAATTAATCATCAAGGGTTCGAAGATTAAGCAACCTTCCTTCACTCCGTGTGTGAGTAAAGATTATAGATTTTAGAGGGTTATAGAGGGCTGTAGTTTTAGAAAAAATCTTGAGGTAGGTAGGCAGACGTGAAGGCAAAGGTCGAGTCGAGGCAGGTTGAAGTGAAGGAGAAGAAGATAAATAGAGAACTGATTGCTGACAAAGTAATGAAACAAACGGGCCTGACTTGGATCAATAGATCCAAATGCCACGGCTGGGATCAAACGTAAAACATGGTGAAAAGTATCAGCCACATCAAATCAGTTACAGCATAGTTTCTCAAACTTGTCATAGTACTCGCGAAAACGTAACAGAATAAAGTATATCAAACAAATCTGCGTAAGAATAATTCATACTCAGAAAAACAATGTGGTGCTTTTGTGTGAATAGCATGAACATGTATCTAACTATATATATATTGGAGCAAGACAAACCTCAACTTTGAATGTTTTTCTGATGATTTCCCTAATTTTATCATGCTACCAAAATAATATGTACATCAACTACAGACAACACAATAGAGGTAACCAGTATTAACACCAATCTTTACAACTTGATGTTCCTTTTAAAATTGTTTATGTGAAATATTTTACTTTAGAACCAAACCACAAAAGCTGTACTTCAAGTCACCGACCTTACGCCTGGTATTACGTATCAACTCTTTGTGAAAGCGGGCAATCATTATGGAGTTAGTGACAAAACAAAACCTGTTAAATTCACTGCCTCTGGTATGTATTAAACTTCAATGTGAGTACTGCATGGTCTTTTCTAATATTTTACAAGTTTATTACCTACAGTATATTGTTGAAAGTTTAATATACCAGTTCACTTATAACTTTAAATATTGTCAATAATGAGTAAAGGATAGACACATAACTGCTTTATAAGCACATTAAAAAGTTTGTTACAATAAAGTATTACTGCACACTAGGTCCTGCAATTTTGTACACATTTTACTACATATATATATATTTCTCTTTCTTTGTATTTGTGGAGAAAGACGTGTGTGTATGGGTGTTCTAGTTGCTCCGTGGAACATTTCAGTGTTTCTTTAAAGTTTAAGTTTATACATAATATTAATTCATTTGTTTCATTTTTAACTGATGCAGTACTAACTAAAGTATGTTAGACAAATCCAAGTAAACGTACAAACTTATATCAAATACAGGTTTTTGACATATTCAAATAAGTTTACGAACTTGGATAAAATATATCCTGATTTTATTCCTTGATTTTTATAGTATACTTTGTACTGCAGCTTCTTGATAAAAGATGAAGGCTAGAATGTTTAGGAATAAAATCTTATTTTATCTGAAGCATAAGGTCGCGAACTGATTTAAATGTCACCGCATGAAGATAGTGCGTGTGGAAACATCTGTTTTTAATAATATTTTCGTCTTGTGATAATTATCAGTATCATCTAAAAATTCCTGATAATACCAAGAATTTGTTTACTTATGCGAATTAATATATTTTTGTGGCTTAATAAATTATTCATCAATAAAAATTAATTTTTGTATTATTACTAGTTCAAAAAATATATTTCAGCCATCAGTATTTTTCATAATTTCAATCAAGGTTTTTTTGTTCATGTGTTTTGTTATAGCAAAGCCACATCGGCTACCTGCTTTGTCCATTGAGGGGAATCGAACCCCGGAGTTTAGCATAGTAAATCCGAAAACTTACCGCTGTCATACCGGGAAACATTAATTGTTTGTTTGTAATTAAGCACAAAGC